ATATCGGTTATTGCGAAAAATTATTGCTAAGGTCTCGGTAGTCTAAAGGCTCAGGACACTCGCACGGAATGCAAGAGATCCGGGTTCGACTCTCGGCCGAGGCAATATTTTTTCGCAATAAGTTTATTACAGTTTTTTAAGATTAATTTGGGGAATTTTGGGGGGATTATTACATTTCGGATTAATTGCGTTAATGTCGACAACCATATCGACACGTAATTATTATTTCTGAAATTAATTCATTCGTTTGAATAATATATATATTAGTTCAACATCTTAATACTTAGACCGTAGTGGCGCTTCGGATTGTAATGTTATTTAATATAAACGGTCTTGTTTCCTATCTTATAAATTATTATAGTTTATATTATACTGGTTTATAAGATAAATCTTTCTAAACACCTGAATGTAATTCTTCCATCACCTACAGATTTTGAAAACTCAAGACTCTCATTTATTAAACAATTCTATTGTACAAATTGAATCAATTTACAACTTTATTCTTTTACTTTATAGAATAAAATACATAAGTATCACTATTGTTGAAACAGAAACTTTATAAATCAATATAACTTTTTGATATTAAATATTGCTAATAAATTTTATTATTATCTTATCACATATAAAATTGTATGTAAATAATAAAAGAAATTTCATATCATCGCATTAATTTTTGAACATCAGAAAAATAATAAGATTAAAATATTAGATATAAGAAAATATTTAAATTTCTTAGCAGCCATACAGGATGAATTATTTAGTATCGAAAATATCGTATTTATTATAAGTTTTATCTAAAAAGAAATTAATATATACTCATATAATATTACCTTTGATAATAAACAAATAATAAAAAAAATTTTGTATTTCGTTTCGTTTTAAAAATAATAGTCTGTAATATATTATACATACACCTTTAGTGATTCATTGTACATTATATTATATTATTACGAATTAACATTATTACATAAGAAGTTTAAAGCGAAGTTTTTAAATATTATAGAGTAATAGGAAGTTTTTGAAAAGCATACTTTTTCAGTTAAGAAGTCTTATAAGAAATAAAAATCTATTATTAAATCGCGAAAAAAAATTGATCAAAATTTGTTGTTCAGTGTTATCGAAATAACAATAAATAAAATAAAAATAACTTTATTATGATAAAATTTCTCGCATGTATGCAACAATTAGAGACCAAAATGTTTTTTTAGTTTAATCCTGACTACAGTTTTATAAAACATCGGATAAGTGTTTCGGTTTCAATTAACTAGTGAAAAAAAAACCGAAACCATACAAATTATAGTTTTTAACGATTTTTTTCCGGTTACAGTTACTCTCATGATAGGGGAAGAGTTTAAAATTTTTAAATGACTTTTTCTATATTTACTCTACTAAACTATATATATTTATATGTATATGGAATAAGAATAAAAACTAAAAAATATATTATTTAATACAACGTTTTATAGTATTATGTGTACATACACATGTGCAGGAATTCAAATCATAATTGCAACAATAATATGATTGAAGGAACAAGAGAGAGAGAGAGAGAGAGAGAGAGAGAGAGAGAGAGAGAAAGAGAAGCAGGAGGGAAGATAAATAAAAGCGTTTGGTAATATTTTAGTTTTTAAATTTATGAAGTGGAATCTCATTCCGAAGTGTAAAAATTGAGCCAGTTTTAAAAAAGAGCAGCTCAATTTTCAATCTTCAAGAGTAAGCTTTCACACTTTGTAAAATAAGATTCACTTAAATAGTTTTACACAGTAAAACAAGCGCTCTAAGAATATAAAAGTGATAAGTAAAAAAAAAGTAAAAAAAAAAATAAAAAAAACGGTAATAATGTCACAAAATAGTAATGTCTACAGTATAAAATTGAGAAATACAAAGATAAAAATAAAATAAAAATAAAAATAAAAATAAAATTAGGAAGAATAATGAACAAATTACAATGAGAGAGAGAGAGAGAGAGAGAGAGAGAGAGAGAGAGAGAGAGAGAGAGAGCGTATTCATCCGTTCAATTAGTTTCTCATGTACTCATCCTGGCTACATTATAGAGTTTAGAATTTATCTTTCTTCTTACAATGTATAATAAAGAAAGAAAGATAAATTCTATACTAATGCAATGAGTTCAATTATAAAGAACAAAACTATGTATAAATAAAAAATCGAAAAAAAAACCGAAAAAATCGTAAACCGGAAATAAGTTTATTCGTTTATTTATAATTTTGATATTATAAATTTATAAAAGGAGGATCTTAAAAAAGTCCGATTTTAAACTCTTCTGCTGAACTTTAGTTAATCATTAAAAAATTTGGGACCCACATAAAATAATAAAAATAGTTTTATATTAAAAATACGAGGAAAGTAGATTTTTTTTTATATTATAAGTGTCTTCTTTTATAAGTCGAATTTTTGTATACAACGTTACAACTTATCATGATGTATTACAAAAGTTTTTTCATGATAATTAGTATTAAAGGTCATCAATGCAAAACGAATGTTTGATTCATATATTGTACAAAGAAGAAACTTCAATCTAATGGGGGGAGAAAGAAAACTGGAAATTGATCGAGAGTTCCTGTACAATTCGGGAAATGTTACCAATTGACCTCTTTTACTATAACAATCTTTTACTGTAACAAATTTACATGAGAATTTAATTTCACTTTGCTCACTTGATACTTTAAATTCGATTGAATTTAAATAGAGCATACATTTTAATATTACCGCCACATTGTCTTCCGTCAGTCGATCCCTCGGAGTTTACGAATTGCTTACTACGACTTTGTCGTTGTCTTTGGACAGTGGTAGACCATTCTTTTCTTATTTTCGGATGAAGCAAATAATTACCAGCTGTTTATTATTCACCATTTTTCAATATTTTTTCAAATTTGAATTTTTTCTTAATCTTACTTTGGAGTGCAATGGAAAACATCAAAACAGCGCATTCATCTTATTGTATAAAATATATTAAATATGTGACTCTAATCGAGCACAAACATTTTGAATTGGTCATTTTGAATTTGCTATTATTGATGTTTCTATTTAATTAACAAATTCGTCAACTTGTCTTAAAGAGCACTCTCAGATTCATTTTTGATAAAAAATTTGATTACTGCAATCCTACGTATAAAATTGAATGTCAAGGGCGCCATTTTAGATTTCCGGTTTCCAAAATTTGCCATTTTTATTAACAGAATCATGATGAGCGACCCTCAAAATCTTTAAGGACAATTATCATGAGAAACTTTTACAATACATTCGATTCGTAATAAGTTCTAAGTGGTATACAAAAATTCGACTTACAAAACGAGACATTTATACATCAGAAAAATCTACTTTTCCCGCACTTCTGGAATATAAAACTATTTTTATTATTTCATGTAGGCCCCAAACAACAATTTTTTGTGGGTAACTAACTAAGGTTCCGCAGGGAGGGGACCAAAAATGAAATTTTTTAACATCCTCCTTTGGTTACAGTTTCGGTTTCAGAAAAAGATTATGAAATGATTTTCCGTCTTGATTCTGGTTTCATACCGATTATAACTATCAAAATATTTAAAAAACTTAGAGAGAGAGAGAGAGAGAGAGACTGAATTTAGACCAAAGAATGACTTCGGTGAAAAAAATATTATACATGCACAACAAATTACTTTTCTAATCGTTAT